ACACACACTCACACACACACACACACACACACACACACACACACACACACACACACACACACACACACATCGCAGATACTGCCAGGGCTGACAATCTACACACTTCTCATCATTTAAGCCCATTATTTATTTATGTTTTTCTTAGTAATTAGTTTAACTTCTTAAATACACATTAATATTTAATTATATTTATACTTCTTTAATTATAAGTAATTTGTTTCTTATTAATTTAACTTTTTACATATATATTTATACTAGTGCTGTCAAACGATTAATTGCGAAAATAATACATAATGTAAATAGCCTACATACGTATATAAACTAGAAAATAAAAATTACAAATTAAAAAAGGAACTCATTACAGGGTTACAATATTATGAGAAAAATCCCTATTGTTGATTATTGCTCTTAATATTGCAGTAAGGATTATTAATGTTGATTAATAATATAAATATAAAAACATTTTTGTGCTTGGGGAAATGGAACGTCATATTCTGGCTACTCAGACAAAAGCTAAGAACGTTATTAAAACTAGGAATACATTATATACAAAAAGCATGCAATGGAAATTACTTGAAAGATGGGAGCATAATTATTTTATTTTGATACCTTGTTTTGATAAAGAGAAACAAAAACATTCCTCTATCAAACTAAAAAAGTATCAGCTGAATGCAAAGTGACCTACATTTGGTTTTTGACCACTGAAAACCTGTACTCAGGGCCTTAAAAATAAAAATACCAAACGAAACATCGGTAACGCTTTAGTATAAGGACCAGTTCTCACTATTAACTAGTTGCTTATTAGCATTAACATATTGGCTGTTTATAAGTGCTTATAAAGCACATAGTCTGTATGAGCATATTCAACATCCCTAATCGTACCTAATACCGAAACTTAACAACTACCTTACTATTAATAAGCAGCAAATTAGGAGTTTATTGAAGCAAGGATTGGACCTTAAAATAAAGTGTGACCGATACTTTTGTGAAGAACCAACATCTAAAGGGACATTAAAATATCTTCTCGAGTTACAAACTTTGGAGAAAAAAATGTGAAAAGGGTTTTTTCCCCCATTTTTGAACGGTCGCCTTGTGCGTACAACGCAGCAAAGAGTCAACAGATTCACTAATAGACCTACTGTACCAATCTCTGTGTGAAAATAAAACCATCTTTCTAAAGTAATCTTGACCCTCCTCTACAAAATAGTGGATTACGCAGTAAATATTCATCCGTGGCATTTAATATGTTGGCTTTCATCACTATACATGTTAGTCTTTCCTCAAACTAAAAATACTAACAAAACCAAAATTTTATCAAGGGAAGGTCCACCTCTCCAAACTTCATTAAAGTTTAGATACTTGTTCTAGTTGTTTCCCTGCTCTTCCTCACTAGCGTTTATCTTCATTCTCTCCTACATCTCTTCTTGGATTATTTGAGGTCATTCTGGCGCAGTGTGTGGTTTATATGACCCGAGCGCCCAAGTCTGTGGAGGTGTACAAGGCCTATAACAACGTCAAGTGCTGTCTGAGGAAGCATCAGGGCCCGTTACCGGCCGTTCCCCTGCACCTGCGCAACGCTCCCACCAAACTGATGAAGAATCTGGGCTACGCCAAAGGATACAAATACAACCCAAACTACAGCAGACCGGTGGAGCAAGAATATCTTCCCGAGGAGCTGCGCGGTGTCAACTTCTTCACCTGGACGCCCCCCGATCTGTGACTTATTGTCTTTTTAAGTTTGGAGTTCTGCTGTTGCCTTTATCACTGCTGCTGTATCTTACACTTATCACAGCGAGGTTTCACACCTTTGGTCCATGTTGTGAATGAATAAATATGCATTTGCTTATACAGTTTTATGTAAAACATGAAGATTGCAGCAACTGATTTCCATTTTTATCTCAGGTGAGTAAGAAATTAATAAATGGAAACCATATTATAGTACTTTGTAAGTGCATAAACATCGCTTGATTTGAATTTCGTGAGATTTGGCTTTACTCTCAAATACACACTATAGAGGATGAGACTTACAGGAAACAATTATTAGTGACTTTTATATTAGTTTGGCTTCCTCTTCCTTTGGTTTTCCTCCAATATTCAAACTAGAGGATGAACGTTTATCTTGAAAACTGAGTTGCATCCCTGACATTTCATGTTTCAGCTTCATTGAATGTTTGCATCATTGTTTTACACTCATATCTACAAGCAAGCAATAATGTTGTATATTACCATATGCTTTACTAAAATCAAGTCTTATCTTTATTTTTCTGCACTGAAGATGTTGCACTTACAAATCATTTTGCAGTTCAAGTCATTTTGATTATGAGTTGACTGACCGTGCTGAGGTCAGTGTATTAAAGGGATCGTTCACCCAAATATGTAAATCTGTTGTCATTTACTTACCGTCATGTCATTCAAAACCAGTTTTTTGTCTTTAATGAAAATAGATGGAGACAACATTGCAGTTCCCATAGAGTAGCTGATGCTGTGAGGGAAACACACTTTCCTTTACTTCAGACATCAACTACAGTAACTACTGCTGTAAATTCCCAATGTACAGTCACTGTTAATTACACGAAATAGCATTTAAAAATGCCCAAAATGCAATGCATATTACACTGGTGAAGTGTATTGGGCATTTTGCAGTAAGTAACTTTAAAAAGTTTTTATAAATTACAGTTTTTTTTTACTGATCTAAATTAAATAAAGAACTTGGTACATGGTTAAAACATAGTATTTGGTAGGACAGCACAATATATAGAAATAAAACCGATATCGCGGCGTGGCTTAGTGTGATTGTCACATCGTGCAAGCTGCGATGTAATTAAATACTTTCTTTACCCCTTCAGCGTGAAGCACGGTATTTACACACATGTAAATACATGTAAGACACTCAAAAGACAAGTGCTGTTGCGTCAAGAAAGTTTATACAAGTTAAGTCTTGTCGATTGAAACGTTCAAGCGATTTTACACCATTCAAGTGCAAGAAGATATGACAGAGACAACTTTATTAAAACCGAATTCAGTTCTATTTTGCGTCTGCTTAAACTTGAATGGACAAATACACAAACAATTGTCTTGGCGAGTTTTTTTGTTTGCACAGTCAGTTATGTCTTAAGTGAACATAAACAGTTGAGAAATAAACCTGATGTGCATTAGTTCTTAAAGCAACAGCACACTGTAAAAAATTACAGTGAATTTAACGGTAACAGACTGTAAAAATGCTACAATAAAAAACTGTTAAATGGTTAACGGTAAATTCCAGTACTATATACAGTGAACAACTGTATTGGACATTACATGTATTGGACATTAATTTATATGTATACCGTTTTTGGAAGTGAAAAACACCGTAAATTGACATTCCCAGAATTCCCTGCATTACATTTCAAATTTGATGTTTTTTTGTTGAAATAACTGTTTATTTTTATCAGGTGGTTATCAGTGTATTACAAAAGTACAAAACAGATTTCAGTACTTCAATAGGTTGGTATATTCACATTATATCAGTTAATGAAATTACGGTATTTAACTGTAAATTTAAGTTAAAACCTAAAATGTTGCTACCGTATTTTTTACGGTAAAATTCTGGCAACCACAGCTGACGTTTTTTTACCGTAAATTGTACTAATTTTTTTTTACAGTGCAGCTATACTCGCTCCTGTCAATATCATTAACCTTAATCAAACAACTAAAGAGGAAATCTCTCACTGCTCCTGACCAAATCATTTTTGTAGCTTTAGCAAGGATTAATCTACAGTATATTAATTTACACAGTGAAGACTGCAGTGTTATTTTACATTTGATTATTCCATTTCTGTAAGTGAATGCTATTGTTAGACTAACAATAGTGTTTTTGCCTATTTCTTGATGTTTGTTTGTTCTTATTTTATTACTGACCGTTCACTTTTAGCTTTGTAGGATGGAAATGGGACACAAAAACAATTATATTGCTATGGTAGGGCTACTGAAGTTTTTGGCAGCACAAGCAATTTTTATTATTAATTTTTTTATTTTTTCATTTTCACTTTTTATGCAGCTCTAACTCTAGAATAATTCATTATTTCCAAATAAAGCTATACAAGTCAAAATATATTGCAGACGATATCTCTGTCAGTTTTTTCCAATATTGTGCAGGCCTCGTACTTTGCTTCCGTCCAACGTTGCGAATTTAACTTAAAAATTGGTACACATTTGCGAATAAAGCACCGTTTTCATCCAACGTCCAACAAAAATCGTCATTTCCTGATAAACTGACATTAAATAGAAAAGTAGGCGAACAAATATAATCATTTACAGCTCTAACTCTAGAATAATTCATTATTTCCAAATAAAGCTATACAAGTCAAAATATATTGCAGACGATATCTCTGTCAGTTTTTTCCAATATTGTGCAGGCCTCGTACTTTGCTTCCGTCCAACGTTGCGAATTTAACTTAAAAATTGGTACACCGCATACAACATTTGCGAATAAAGCACCGTTTTCATCCAACGTCCAACAAAAATCGTCATTTCCTGATAAACTGACATTAAATAGAAAAGTAGGCGAACAAATATAATAATTTTAAAATATGATAAATGACTTGCGCCTCAGAGCGAGCAGACGAAACACAATAAATGCTGTCATTTATTTCGGAGGTGGATGCTGCTGTTTGGGAACACACTTATGTAAGACAATTATACAGAAAAACTTTGATGACAGACTTTGCTCCGGTATTTCAGAACGACTAAAACAACATTTCAGATGCTGTGCGACGAGATCGGTCCGAATCCCGTCCCATCGTGCAAAATCACATGACTTTTTTTTTATGCGTATCGTGGAATTTATTGGTTAAATGTGTTTCCATCGTAGTTTATGTGCATGTTTTCTTATCGGATAAAAAGTGTATCCTACTCAATTGTGTGCATATGTTTTTTATGCGCATTTCTAGAATGTGTATAAAAATAGGTGGATGGAAACTATGACGAAAACTGATAGCTTGGTCCATAATCAAAGTCTTTGATTCTGCAATGAATTTTGCCTATTGAAAGTGTATCAGTAGCTGAGTATTTGTGTAATCACGAGTAAAACCATGCATGGCCCTTTTTATAGCAGGATGAATGAAAGATGGTATAAAGTCTATGTTTCTAAACATATCTAAACTATAAATACAACTGCCATAGTTGTAAAGTGCATAGTTCAACTTGTAGAAGACAAATGTTAGTCTATATAATGACATGAAAATATGGTTTCATTTTGTCCACATAAAATTATATAGTTATTAAGTAAGCCATAGCAATGTAAAGGAGTTTTATTTTATGTTTAAAATTTCATTGTATTTCATCACTACAAAATGTTATTAATCACAATGCATAATCTGAAATGTGGTGGAAAAGTGCTCGAAAGCACAGCAAACCTTTCCAGTATTGCAAAATTGTTATTTGATTCTCTTTTGCAATGCAATTGTTATATCTCTAATGGGACCATGCAATGAAAACTACCACAGCTATGCCATGAAAATATCTTTAATTATGCAAATGAAGCAATGAAATGCAGCAGATGGTTAAAGTGAGTTGGTTATGCCGTAATATAACAGCATTTCTTCCAAAGATCTCTATGTGAAATGTCTGCGTCAGATACTCCTCGCCTCTGGAAGCAAAGAACACAAAACAGACACTGAGTTTGCGGTTGAATCCTAACGCAATGTTGCCATGTTGTTTTAATGGTGATGATAAACCAACCTGCTAATAGCTGCGCTGCTATATACTGCATGTGTTCAACAACACGTCTCCTGTGGAAGAGTAAGCGCTCAGATCCTCCGCTCTGTTAAGAGAAGCAGGTCTGCAAACACAAACACACACATGAGCTGACACACAGCACACACTCACTGCTATAAACCAAGAGACCATGTAAACATAGGTTTATGAGGAGTTTTAAGCAAGTGGAGACATAAAACGTTAATAATGACCTCCTCAGATACAGGTTGGAGATGCAGCCCTTGAAGGTGTCTTTGCCGAGGATTACGCTGGACGAATACGGTCCAGATGAAGATCCTGTCTGTCTCTGGCCAACATCTTCTTCATTGATGCGAAGTTCAATGCACAAACAAAGAGAACATCAGTATGAAAAACAAAGCAAATTAGAAGAACTTGTTTACAATTTGAATGCTTAATTACACGTGTCTTCATTTATAAATATATGGAGAATTGATTGCATTCAAATTGCATTTAAATTAATGAGTCGCTATTGGCTGCAACTTGTGTTTTCATTGTTATTTGTGACCCTGGAGCACAAAACCAGTCATAAGGGTCAATTTCTTGAAATTGAGATGTATAGATCATCTGAAAGCTGAATAAATAAGCTTTCCATTGATATATGGTTTGTTAGGATAGGACAATATTTGGCTGAGATACAACTATTTGAAAATCTGGAATCTGAGGGTGCAAAAAAAATAATAATTCTCAAAATTTGAGAAAATCATCTTTAAAGTTGTTCAAATGACGTTCTTAGCAATGCATATTACTAATCAAAAATTAAGCTTTGATATATTTACAGTAGGAAATTTACAAAATATCTTCATGGAACATGATCTTTACTTAATATCCTAATGATTTTTGGCATAAAAGAAAAATCCATAATTTTGACCCATACAATGTATTGTTGGCTATTGCTACAAATATCCCCCAGCGACTTAACACTGCTTTTGTGCTCCAGGGAGTAAAGAATAATTTGAGTAAATGTTATAAACTACAAATGTTATTTTTCTAAACATATTGTACTTTGTCAAATCATATTAATAACTGCAATCAGGCAAAAATATATGACAGTTTCAAATGATCTGTCTTTCCAGGCACATGAATCTTACCCTTGGCCCTGTTTGAAAACAGTGAGATAATGCCATTCTCCATCCTGGTACTGCTTAGTAGATTTCCAGACGCTGCCCTGGAATTTGAGGAGCACATATCCGCTCTCCATGGAAAGCTCCATGTCTTTATTCTGCCACAGAGAGATCACAGTGCAGATGATAAATACACAATGAGACGTGCTGCGTGATATACAACTCTACTATAAAGCCACCTATGAAATATAGGTATTGATATTAAATAGAAAGTGTTAGGAATTTATAAGTAGTTGCTACAATTTCTAATACGCAAATTTGCATGATATCGGATTTTCTTGTACAAGATGCTTGTACAAGAGAAAACAGTGAGATAATGCCATTCTCCATCCTGGTACTGCTTAGTAGATTTCCAGACGCTGCCCTGGAATTTGAGGAGCACATATCCGCTCTCCATGGAAAGCTCCATGTCTTTATTCTGCCACAGAGAGATCACAGTGCAGATGATAAATACACAATGAGACGTGCTGCGTGATATACAACTCTACTATAAAGCCACCTATGAAATATAGGTATTGATATTAAATAGAAAGTGTTAGGAATTTATAAGTTGCTACAATTTCTAATTCGCAAATTTGCATGATCGGATTTTCTTGTACAAGATGCCCCATACAGCACAAAATAAATATTTTGTTGCTGACCATAATATATTTTAAATATATGCTATATAAATGTTTTAAAGAGTGAAGCTCAATAAAATATACAGTATATTGTATGTTTCTTACTGATTTTTATTCAAATGTGTCATATGTTCTTCAGATGTGACCAATTTGAATGGACTGAAATATATGGAGGGAAAAATAAATGTTTAAATGCTTTAAAAAATATTTTTATTTTTCAAATATATTTTCAAAAATATGTTTTCTACCAATATATTTTGTAGCCATTTTTTTGTATATTTTGAAATATATTTTAGCAAATGTATATTTCATGTATTTTTGTGTATGTATTTGTTTGTTTGTTTTTTCCCGTCGTTAAACTAGCAAACTTTTCGGATGCACCTGCACCGTGTGCTTTACACCATGTGCTTAGGGCCCAAAGAGTTAAGGTCCTTGCACACTGAGTCCGAAATTTTCGTATATGGTTTTTTCGTATTTTTCGTATTCGTCATCCTTTCCTATCAAAATGCTTGCTACGGATGCGAAAACGCAGAAAATCGAACCTGGTCCGATTTTTTTTATGATGTGCGACAGTTTCGGAGGCAGTGTGTAAACGTGATCGAAACAATGTGAGGTCGTATTTCTTTACTCGTTTTTATTTGACTCCGTGTGCAATGACCTTTAGACTGTGAACAGCCAAACCCACTAATGAGAATAGAACGTATGCATGCATTTGACCGTATAGTGTGTGTGTGACTGTGGAAGAGATACACACGTTTTTGCTGTTCTGCAGCAGGATGCCATCTGGTTTTGTACTCCTGAAGCCCAGAGAAAGACTGACATTGTCTAAGCTGAAGTCTTCATGGAGTTTCTCCAGTGCACTGCCGAGACTGAACTCCGCTTTCCTGACCATCTGGAAAAGAGCATGATGGTTAAGCACCTTTCTCTTTTTGTGACTGTTGAAGAAACCAAGCTAGCATATTACATTTAGTCATTTAGCAGACGCTTTTATCCAAAGCGACTTACAAATGAGAACAATGGATGCAATCAAAATCAACAAGAGAGCAATGATATGCAAGTGCATTAACAAGTCTCAGTTAGCTTAACACAGTACACATAACAAGTTTTTTTTATTATTATTATATAATAAATAAAAAGAAAACATAATAGAAAAAGAATAGATTTTTTTATGAAAACAAGCAGTTAGTAAATGAATAGAGTGCAAGTCTAAAAGGGTCATTGTTTTAAGAATAGAATTAGAATAGAGCGTGCTAGAGTTGGAGGGTCAAATAAAGATGGACGAGATGTGTTTTTAGCCGATTCTTGAAGATGGCTAAGGACTCAGCTGCTGGGATTGAGTTGGGCAGGTCATTAAATGACACATTTAATCCCAGTTAAATGTAGATATGATGAAAGATGAACCTGATTACCTGCAGCTCGTTAGTGCAGCCTCTGCCGACTCCCACTTTCTCCTCGACGCTCGGGGTGGAGCCGCCCGCTGTGCTGATTTTCACACAGCCTTTCAGAGCCGGGACAGTCATGTTGTATCTAGAATAACATAACATCAGGAAACTTTAGAAACGAGCTCCAGATCGCGTCAGCAAAACACTGTGTAGCGTCTGCGTAGAATCATGCATGATCTTTGGGGTGTTTATGGCTTAAGAGACCCTTTTAGCCTTTTGACATTTGCATATAAATTACAGTTCTGGTCAGAGACTTTACGTTTGTATGGGGTTTAAATTGCCAAATGGTTCCTCGCCGTCAAGGAGATTCTAACCAGCCCCCACTATCATCTCTCCCATCTGACTTCAAACACTGTCCAAAGAGCTGTAAATGGCCAGGCAATGGGCCTGACCGACCAAGCAAACTAACACACACACAAACGCACACACATAAAGACATTTCTTTATTTAGACTATAATTAATCAGTTATAATTGTATCTGGTATATGCATGTGTTGTTTGTATGTTTCCCTATTGTATTAGCCTAGTTACAACTTTTTATTTGTATTAGTTAGACTCTCAATGCTTATATTCAGGTATATGAGTGTATCTCTGCTTTAAGATCTTCTAGATGTTTTGTTCTTGGTATCAAAATGATCAGCTCTTTATTCCTCAAACAATGATCTACACTATGTGATCGTGAAATGCATCTTACTATCTGTAGCATATTTTGGGTAAAACTGCACCGATCTTCCAGACCAGCAATACACATGCAAATGGGCCATAAACAAGAGACAAAGAATGAAAGATGACGCAGTGCTGAATCTGATGTATATCTGATTCAGTGTCGCAACACATAAGTGTGAGTAACTGTGTTTCTGACACTGTTCCTGATTGTTTGATATGCACTGAGTATTTATACATTTTTAACCCAAATGACCCATATTGTTTGCTGAGTGCATCACAGCAGCGTCCAACTATTATATTAATATGCGAAACTGTTAGCCAATAATAGCAGTGGGCGTTTACTGCCGATTCTTGAATGCTCCCCAGCTATAAAAACAGAGCGTTCTGCAGAGAGCCTTAACTATTTTAGATTAAATAAATGCATTGATAGAGCAAATCATGCTTCACTTTTAAACGGTATGTTGGTATGCTAGGAAAAAAACCCTGACAGCATCAGCGGCATCTTTATTTCAGTCCATGTGTCTCGTCACAGTCATTTCTACTCTAGTTGAATTTTCTCAATTCGCTTTACACTTTACGCTTCATTTTCAATGTACTATTGAGTGGATTGAATTGATTGAATATATAAAATGAATAGCCTTACTCTGTTAGCAGCATCTCGCGCTTGCTCGATCAGCTCCTTTATCTTATTAATATTATCAGTCACGTTGTTCCCGACGCTAATCTCAGAATTGATCTCTTCTATTTTATCCAGCAGGGACGGGATGGAGCCGCTCAGATTTCTGACTGTCAGACGGAATCAGAAAATAATGCATAAGTTAAAGAGGTACAGTAGACGATGAAGAAACTGATTAAAAACAACAGGTGCAGCGCTTACCGGTCATCTCCACATTATTGAGAACATTGTCCATATTAGAGAGAGTAGGAGTAATGGAGATCTTGGTAACTTCTGCTTTGATGTTGCTTAACTCGTCCATTGTGTCACTCGTGGAGCGATTGGCTGCCGCTGCCACTTTCTTAGCCGCGTCGATAATGTTACCGATATCATCTGTGATCGGACAGAATGAAAACATATATTAAAAGATGTTCATATCCCTGCTGAAAAACTGTCTTAAAAGGAAAGTTCACCCAAAAAATGTAAATTCTGTCATCATTTACTCACCAAAATCTGTTTGGTTTTTTTTTTTCTGTTGAATATATATTTTGAAGAATGTTGGAAATCAAACAGATGACGGTAGCCATTGACTTTAATAGTATGGGGGGAAAATTACTATGTAACACTGTTAAAAATATTCCGTAAAATTACGGTAAAAAAACGGCACCTGTGCTTGCCGGATTTTTACCGTACAAAATGCGGTAACAACATTTGAGGTTTTACGGTTTTTACTTAAATTTACAGTTAAATACCGTAATTTCATTAACTGATATAATGTTAATATACCAACCTATTGAAGTACTGAAATCTGTTTTGTATCTTTGTAATACACTGATAACCACCAAATGCAGGAGGTGATGAGAAAGTCACATGATGAACCAAAGCCCATCACAAGCAGCTTTTAAATAATAACATATATAGAAGGTGCACAGTGTGTCATTCACACAAACACTAAACACCATCACGGTAACACACATGAAACTGAAATAATGCAATAAACATTCATTTAACAACATTAGGTGTAACACACAACCCTAACATACAAAACTGATAAGAAAAAACTAAGAAGAAACAGTTATTTCAACAAAAAAACATCAAATTTGAAATGTAACGCAGGGAATTCTGGGAATGTCAATTTACGGTTATTCACTGTAAATTCTGTCTCTTTTTCACTTCCAAAAATGATATACTACTGTAAAATTACATGTAATGTCCAATACAGTTTTCCACCGTATATAGTACGGGAACTTACCGTTAACCATTTAACAGGTTTTTACTGTAGCATTTTTACAGTTTTTTACCGTTAAATTCACGGTAATTTTTTACAGTGAAGTCAATGGCTACCAGCAAGTGTTTGGTTACCAAAACTCCTCAAAATATCTTATTTTGTGTTCAACTAAAGATAGAAACTCAAACAGGTTTGGAACAACTTGAGAATGAGTAAATGATGACAGTTTTCATGTTTGGGTGAACTGTCTCTTTAAGTCTAAGCGCTTGTAAATCAAACATGCCAGCACTTGTCGTTTCATATAGCTTCTGTAAACCAAACCTCTCAATCAGCTGGTCTGTGTGAGACTGTCTCATGTATGGAATGGGCTTGTTTTGTCCTTACAGTCATATGTCGAGCAGTGCTCTTTTCTCACCTCTCTGAATCCCCTTCAAACCCTCCTGAACAGCGAGCAGCTCCTTTTCCAATGCTTTCTTCTTCTCTTCCGCAGCTTGCAGGCGTTCCTTCTGATTACTGAGGTCTTTAGTTGCTCCTGATGAAGACAGAATACAGTGTTTAAATAACTAATGATTGATTATATAAAAGCAGATTAAACATGTAGTTTGATCTTCGCAGAATGAGGTTTTTCTTGAATTCACACACACCTTTAAGATCTTTAGCTGCATTTTTGGCTTCTTTAAGTAGGATATCGCCATTGTTTTTCAGAAGTTTTGTCCTGCTGATTAAGTCCGCTTCACTGACATCCTGAAAAAAATAAAAAAATAAAAATCAACACATGTATGTTTGGCATTATACATTGGCCCAAGAAAGTGCTTAAAAACTCAGTCACACTTAACCTTCCGGGGTTCCTCAGATGACCACATTTCATTTCATTTATTTTTTTTTTACGTTTTTCTTTTACGTTTTTTATTATTATTATTATTTTTTAAATCTTTTTTTAATTAATTTTTTTATTATTTTAATTACATGAATGTACTATATTTTAGCAAATTTTTTAGGTTATTTAATTATTTATATTTATAGGGTATTTTATTGTACTAAATATATTTATTTATACAGTAGTTCCGATCCATTTAATATCTGCTAACAACATTTTTAGCATAGAACCAAATCAAATTTTAAAATTAAATCTTAAGTCTTAAATCTTGAATGTTTTGGAGCACAGACTTAAGTTCGACCTCTTTTGAAAGAAGCCACTGGCCACATTATTGCTGAAGTATGAAAAAAGTTATAGAAATTTAAGCTAATTCTTATGAAAAATTTATTTTTCTATAATTAACAAATTATTTTTACTATTTAACTATTTTCAAATATTATATGAAATATTTTCCAAAACTTGATTTACTCGAAAACTGCATGAAAATCGAAACCATAAATCTAAACAAAATTTGAGCTTGATATAAAAAAAAATAAAAAAAGAGCTTTCAGTAAAATTTAGTTTGGACGCAGTATACCAAACGTTACCCCTAATTCATTTCAGGACCATTTAATCTGAAACTCCAAGTTAAGCTAATTCTTATGAAAAATTTATTTTTCTATAATTAACAAATTATTTTTACTATTTAACTATTTTCAAATATTATATGAAATATTTTCCAAAACTTGATTTACTCGAAAACTGCATGAAAATCGAAACCATAAATCTAAACAAAATTTGAGCTTGATATAAAAAAAAATAAAAAAAAGAGCTTTCAGTAAAATTTAGTTTGGACGCAGTATACCAAACGTTACCCCTAATTCATTTCAGGACCATTTAATCTGAAACTCCAAACAGAGTAGTTTATCTCATTAACTATGCTCTGCTATTGCTTCACCGCAACACATTCAACAAGACTTTTTATCACTTTATAACACTAATCTTTTTTTTATCATTTTAAACGTCTTTTTGCAAATGTTTGGCTTGAAAAGTGTGCTTGTGCTATTTCTTTAAATGCAGTGACATTCAGACATTTTTAAGCATACAGATATTCTACAGGGCTGCTGCATGCATCCTAACTTTGACATTAATCCTCATTCGGTGATGTCTCCTACGTTGAGTGCTTTGTCTGCCGCCTCTTTAGCCTTCTTCGCCGCCTCCTCTGCAGCGTTGACAGCTTCGGTGATGTTTTTATACGCCTCTATCCCAGAGAGAGCAGTCTGAACACCAGAGCGCCCACTCACATTCTGCACAGCCCTGTCCAGGACAAAAACAGCACTTATATGCCATATATCAGCAGATTCTCATCCCTCTGGGGGAAAAGATATGTTAAAGAGTCTGTACCATGAACCAATGGAACTGGCATTATATTGAGGTGAAAATCGAAGTGAAGCGACACAATGTGGGAACACGAGAGGCAGGTGTGTAAACTGATGAAGTGTCTTACTCTTGCAGCTCTTTGGCCAGTTTGTGCATGTTTTCTGCATGTTCTTCTGCCTGTTTCACTATCTTCTCTTTGGCTGCTGCTTGTGAGATGGTTTGGACTTTCTCCTTGAGTTCGGTCTTTGCTCCGTTGAGCTGCGCCGCAAGCTGTTCGTAATCCTGAGGGAACATGAGAGGATTCGTCACCAGTGAAATCACTAAAACTGTAGCTGATGATCTGTACACAGTCAGTTAGATTAAGCAAATTAATGCATAAATGATACAGTATTAAATGTAAATATTGCATGAATAAAAATTGTGACCCTGGAGCACAAAAGCAGTCTGAATATGCAATCTAAAATAGCACTTTATATAAATATATAGATATATAAAATTGTATATATAACTATAATTATTAACAAATAGTGACATTATGCCTTTTTTTTCTTGCCCCCCTTGACTCAAGGGTGAAATGTTGCCCATGATTATATATATATATATATATATATATTAAAAGTATTTAAGGACAATTGATATTTTAATATTGTGCCATTATGTGGGAAATGCACACTGAACGAATGAGCAGCACACAAACAAGCAAATACATGAATAAATAATCTGCTTTCATACATGCTAAATATAAATATATGTGCTTTCTTATTTTTCTTTTTGACCTGGGAATATTTAGCCATCCAGCCGAACCCAGA